GAATCATCAAAAGTAATGCTCACAGCTTCATGGGGCCGTTTAGCTGGAGTGAGTTGATTTTGAGGACCAGGATTTGACTGAATCGTATGCACCGCAGATGACATTGGCAGGCTGTATATCATGTGGATCACGCCGAGTGGACGTGAATCTTGTCATAAGGCTATTGCTTTGGTTGAGTTGCCTTTGCGGACATACTGTTGTAACTGACCATCTTGTACCAGTTACTCCAGATGATCCTTCAATGTGTAACAACTCTCAATATCATGGTCGTGATCTTTGTGATACTCGCACCGCCTATCCCGTCTTCTTGTTTCGAGAGGTCCCACCATTTTGGACGGCCACTTGAAGAACGGAAGGTGTTGGATTTTGGACATAACCGCACTGATCGGCTCTGACAACTCTGTATATTTCTTGTTGACGCACCTTGTGCGCCTGCCATCTACTTGCAATTGTTCATTTGTTCGATGGAGGCATTGGTCGCTCGATCGGCGAGAATCCCGTCTCTTGTCCTGTTTAACCCGATGCCGTGGTTCAGGGCTCTGAGGTGGTGCGGAACTTATCGGCTAAGCAATTTCAGAAGGGGCCATCTTGTTGACCACGTTTTCGGCTTTAACTCGCAAGGCTTCATCCTCCACTTTGCAGTATTTCTCAACTTTCTTCATCAACGACCAGACTGTTTTGGGGGGTCCTCTAGTCAAGGAGCTGCGGAGAGCACTATCAGGATGCAAACCCATTTTGAAGGCGGTGATAGCCATGGAGTTGTTGCAAGCGTCATCAATAAGATTAAAGCACTCCCAGTAGTGTGCCGAATACGCTCTTAGTATTTCTCCTGGCTGGATCTGCATTGCCCAGAGAAAGTCGGCTTGTTTCGGCTGGACCTCATTGGTGATGAATCTGGCCCTGAATGATTTCTGTAATTGATGGAAGCTCTTGATCGAAGCCGGCTGTAGTTTATAATACCACCTGACAGCTAATGGTCCTAAACTCCTGGGAAATATTCGGCACATGAGGGCCTCGTCGTCTGCATGCAATGTCATAGCTTGCTTGTAGTGGCGGATATGTCGGTGGGGTCTGATTTTCCATCATAGAGAGTGAACAACGGAGCTTTGAGCTTTTTGGCCAGGACCGCCCTTGCGATTCGTCGTACAAAAGGATCGTGCTGGTCTTCTTCATCTGAGTTGTTTCTTCTTCGTTTATGCCTTATACGTACACTCTCATCAGAAGAACTAGTGGCTTTAAGTCGATCCTTCTTTTTGGGCTCCGGGGATAGTGAGTCAGAGTCGCTATCAGCGTCTTGTTGTCGGGCTCGAGGTCGTCGACCACCTGCCCTCAGAGGTCGTTCCGGATCTTGGTATACAGCTTGTTTGGACTTCGCTACTTCCAAAGCCAAATCCTGGCGGAGACGTTCGTTCTCAACGATCATGTTCTCCAACCTCTGTTCATTTTGCTTTGCTTACTCCATAATCGCTTGCATTGCCTCTTGTGCTGATGTCGAGGTGAACCGAAGTGCAAGGCCCTTCTTGCGGTAATGTTCTCTAGCCCAAGCATATTGTTTGGAGTGGTCTCATCTTACGGTGTAGGGTTGACAGTGACTGTCGGAGGATCTTCCGTCACGCCCGCCATGGATGCGCTTGAGTATTCCCACAGACGGCGCCAATTGTGGAGAAGTGGTTTGGAAATACTCTTCCGGTCCTGGGGGACGCTTGTGATCTTCAAATAGTCACCTGAAAAGGAATAAACACTCCGGTCGAGGGTACCAGAATTAGCACTCCGACGGATAAGTCAGTATATACTCTCTTGATTACTTATATCTTAAGTTAAGTTCACTAGTTCTCACATACCTTTCTCTCACTGATGATCCCGTATTTATAGTGTTCTCTTTGGAACTTAGGACCAGGTCCATCCTTAATCCTTTACATGTACTTCTACTTGGCCTTTGTTCTACTGGCTGGAGTGCCGGTTATTTTATTCGGCTCTTCGATTGACTAGGATCAATGCCGAATAAAGGTTATGTTTCGGACCAGACAGGTCTATTCGTCCCTATTGATCCAGTTAAATTCGGCTCCCATAGTTGTCATTGTCTAAGTGGTCATAGTTTTCTTCTGTCCTTTATAATATTACTCCTTTTTCTTCTTCATTATTTGTATAGTGTTGTTAGTCATTCAAGAAGTGATGACTTGATATCATCTGCCAAGAGTTGAGAACATAAAATTTCCCCTTAATTTTTTCCCTTGAAGCTCCATTCAATGGCTATTGAGGCCTCCTCTTCCAAATCTCGTTGTTCTTATCATGTGTACTTGAGTTTTGCCGAAGACATTTGCAAAAATTTTACAGACCACCTCTATACAGCATTGATTGGTGCAGGTTTTCGCACATTTAGAAATGATGATGATGATGCTATGGAGAGAGGTGAACTGGAAAAGCAATCAAGGAATCAAGGAGCTCCATAATTGTATTCTCAAAAGACAATGCTTCTTCGCGAAGGTGCCTTGACGAACTTGTGATGATCCTTGAGTGCAAGAGGAACTTCAAACATGTAATTTTACCAGTTTTCTATGGCATGGATCCATCTCAAGTTAAGAAGCAAACTAGTAGTGTTGCAAAAGCATTTGCAGGGCATGAAGCTAAATTTGAGGTGGAAATTGATAAAAAAAATGGGAAACTAGGTATGGAGAAGGTGGAAGGGTGGAGAGAAACACTCAGAGAAGTTGCAGATCTCGGAGGTTTTGTCTTGCAAAATCAAGCTGACGGGTAAATTTTGTTGGGAAAAATCCCATCTTAAGCTCTAATATCACTTGTTGGGAATGAATCTCTCAAAAACTCTGATATTGCATGATGAAATATGTATTCACGTGCTCTAATATCACTTGTGGGAATGAATCTCTCAAAAACTCTAATATTGCATGATGAAATATGAATTCATGTGCCAGTGGAAGCATACCATAAATTAAATATGCGCACAAATAAAAGAAACACAATAGTTATCGTGGTTCTGGCTCAATGCCTACATCCAAAGAAGAGAGATAATCCACTATATAGAATAGAGTACAATGATGAAATGAAAGTACCCATAACACGACATCGTTACGCAGCTCAAGAGTAATTGATCTTTAAAGGCTAAGCTCCACAGATGCCCGCTCACTATTGTATTTTACGTCTCATCTTCCTCACCTCTCAAACCACTTAATCTCTCACACAGTACAGAAACCCAACAAATTTCTATTATAATTTTTTATTAGCAACAATCCAAAGTACTTTTACAACAATGAATGAGGCCTTGAATTGGATTTCTCCTTCGCAACTCATGCTCCGCTCGAGCGGGGATTTGAGTGCATTCAAGCTAGGCCCTTGGAATATTGGCTCATGGTCATGTTTGTCACAAGTTTTCTAACACAACCATTCAGGAACGGGAAATTGTTTATAGGTAATTTTTTTTTAAAATTTAAAACATGTGTCCAAATACTAATGGAATATGCCTATGTGAGTATGGAGTGATGATTGCATTGGGTTCGTGTTGATCTTCCTAATTGCAACATTCACATTCAACCTAACATATCATTGCGTTACTTCCATTTTGTCTATAGAAATTGTCACATACTAAATTCTCACGACACTTTTATGTTTTTTAATTTTAATTTTACTTTTCATTTTAGAGCTGGCTAAAACAACATGAAATTTATAGTTATTGACGATGCAAGTTAGACTTGCAATTTCAATCTATTGACTCTCTCTCTCTCTCTCTCTCTCTCCCTCTCATGTTCTAATTATGTGATTCTTTCAATATCAAAACAATCTCATATATTGAGTTCTAAGTGAAAAATCTAGAAATCCCTTAGATATTGATTTGTGATTATGTATTAATTTTAAGAAGTAAATAACAATCACAATCAAATAATAAAGACAAATTGACACAACAATTTTAACGTGAAAAAATCACAATTGGAGCGCCTTCAATTGTGATAAAAAAAACCACGGGCAAAAGTCACAAAGCAATCCACTAAGAAGACAAAAAGAATTACACAAGTGCACTCTCAATTACTTAGCGAATCCACGCCTGAATTGAACCGACCCCTATATGCCTCTTCCACCACGGTCTTCACCTTGGAATCGTCTTGCCCAATGTTGAATCCACAACGCCGATGTCGAATCCACAACGATGAGCTACTCTAGAATCCATCAAAGCTTTAGGTCCAAATTCCATGGAATCCACCGAAGAAAAAATCTCTCTTTTATGAATAAAACAAAATAAACAAGCCCTTTGATATAACCCACTCAATTCATAATATAAACTCTCAAAGATATCAAAGGAAACAAGTAAAAAAGCTCCAAATGAAAACCCTAATACCCAAGAAGAAGATTTGGAAGCCGTACCCTAAAATTGGATGAAACCACATATTTATAGAAAACTGATCCGCGATCTCCACTCGAGCGCAAGAATGACCGCTTAAGCAGATCTACGCTCGAGCGCAGGAGTGGCCGTTCGAGCGGGAAAAAACAACTCCCAGTATTTTTGCAGGTGAGTAAAACTTCTAAACAGATTGCATCTCCGCTCAAGCGCAAGAATGGCCACTCGAGCGGAAAACCAGCGAAGTGGCAAACATGATAGGATTAAGATCACAAACTCCTCTGCATAAGCACAATTCGGGTTAGATTCGCATCTAAAACTCATAGCCTCACTGAAATAAAAGATCGAATAAAATTACAAATGAAAGGAGTTTTGTTAAACGGGATTGCAAAGAATAAAAACCTAACACTAAGAATTATATTAGATGGGCAATGTTAAAAATCAAGCATTATATTTTAATGCTTATTTTGTTTTATTTTGTCTTTTATTCATGATTTGTAGGCATGATTCAAAGTTTATCTAGATAATTGTTTGAGAGATTGCTAAAAAATTGGATCGTACGGTCTTGAGTGTCACTCCTTACCTAACAGGTATAGAATCTCGTGTAAAAGACATCAATTCGTGGTTACAAGAAGGGTCAAACAGTGTTAGCATAATGGTGATATGTGGGATGGGTGGAATCGGGAAGACAACCATTGCAAAAATTGTTTATAATCAAAACTTCGATAGATTTAAAGGTAGTAGTTTTCTTGTAAATGTTAGAGAAACTTCAAAACAATCCAATGGACTGGTTCGTTTACAAAGACAACTTCTTTCAGATATTTTTAAGCGGAAAATAGAAAAAATACACAATGTTGACGAGGGAATCATTAAGATTAAAGATGTTATAAGCTGTAAAAATGTTCTTGTTGTTTTAGATGATGTGGATGAGTTGGACCAAGTAAATGCAATATTTGGAATACGACACTGGTTTCATCCTGCTAATAAAATTATCATTACAACTAGGCATGACCGTTTGCTAAAGGTTCATGAAGTTTGTGAGGTTTCCATGGTTAAGGAGTTTAATGATGTTGAAGCGCTTCGTCTCTTCAGTTGGCATGCTTTTGGACAAGACCATCCTATTGAAGCAGACATCAAGCAGGCCAAGAGGATGACATAACACTGTAGGGGGCTTCCTTTAGCTCTTGAAGTCTTAGGTGCTTCTCTATTTGGAAAAAAGTGTTGTGGGAAAATGCATTAGCAAAGTTGGGATCATTTTTTGATGAGAAAATCCAAAATGTACTTCAAATAAGCTATGATTCTTTAGACGATCACAACAAAAACTTGTTCTTTGATATTGCTTGTTTTTTTGTTGAAAAAGAAAAAGATTTTGCAGTTAAAATACTGGATGAATGTGATTACTACACAACTATTGGGATTCAATAGCTCATTCGTAGATGCCTTGTAACAGTTGGAGTAGAGAACAAGCTAATGATGCATCAATTGCTTAGAGATATAGGGAGGGAGATTATTCGCCAAGAATCTCCTAAGGAGCCTGGAAAACGCAATAGAGTATGGCATCATAAGGATGTATACAATGTATTAAAAGAAAAGACTGTAAGATTTATACCTCTCTTGTCTATTGGTATTTTTTTTTTTTTTTTGGCACTTTGTGATTACTTATAGGGTCCTTTTTCTTATTAGGGAACAGAAACAATTGAAGGTTTCATCCTAGACCTGTGTGTGCTACAGGAAGATATGCAAGGCAAGAGTGTAAATAATACACAACACCACCATTTTGACAATTTTGTGGACAACAATTTATCAAAGCGCTGGCGTCATCATGGCTTATTCTCTTGGCTTCCCACATATTCTGTCTCAACAGAATCAAATGAAGAAGTCGATTTGAACACTGATGCATTTTTTTTGATGTGCAAATTACAAATACTCCAGCTTTATAGTGTACAACTCATTGGTGGCTATGAAAATTTTCCTAAGAAGTTAAGATGGCTGCATTGGCATGGATTCCCTTTAAAATTTATACCTAATGATTTTCCTCTAGAGAGCCTGGTTGTTCTTGATATGCGCAATAGCAGCTTGGCACAACTTTGGAAAGGAACCAAGGTGTAATTCAATTATTTTGTTGACTTATCTTCTTTTAGTTTAAATTTTTTGATCAGTGTGCCAATTGATGGAGACAAATTTCCTACCTTATGACAAATGCTCAGATTGTTGAAGATCCTCAATCTCAGTCATTTCCATGGCCTTGTCGATTCCCCAGATTTCTCACTACTCCCTAATCTTGAGAAACTGAAACTTAAAGATTGCATAAATTTGGTTGGTGTTCATGAATCCATTGGGAAACTAGAGAGACTTGTTTTGCTGAATCTAAGAGGTTACAGAAATCTTACAAAGCTTCCAAGGGAAATTGTTCTGCTCAAATCCCTTGAAGAACTTATTCTCTCAGACTGCTCAAGTCTTGACAAGTTACCTCCTGACCTGGTCAAGATGGAATCTTTGAAAGTGCTTAATGCAGATGGAATAAATCAATTGTCCTCAAATAGTGGAGCAGTTAAACCATGGCATGAACATATTTGGTCTTGGGTATCAAAACTAAGAAGTCGCCCTAAATCCATTTGTTTCTCATTGACTTCCTTACCACGCTCATTAGTAAGCTTAAATCTTTCAAATTGCAATATATCTGGTGATGGTATTCCAAGGAATCTCAATACTCTGTCCTCATTGCAAAGCTTGCATCTACACAGAAATCCAATATGCAGCCTTCCAGGAAGCCTCAAAGGTCTTACTAGGCTAATTGTTCTTAACTTAGCTGACTGCACTAGGCTCCAATCACTTCCAGAGCTTCCATTGAGTTTATACTCATTAGATTTAAGTGGATGCAGATCTTTGGAAATGGTAGCAAATCTGTCAAACTTGTATAAACGACTATATTTAGACATAGGTAATTGTGAGAAACTAGTTGATATTCCGGGATTATTGAAGTTAGAACCAATTGGAAACATTGATTCAGAAATGATTAACAATTTGAGCTTGACTAAGTGGGATTTCATGGGAATGGCTGAGTTCGAACTATACAGTAACCTAACTGGTACAATTATTAAAGCTCCCACACTCCAGGTGCTCTCTCTCTCTCTCTTTCTCTCTCTCTCTCAATTGCTATCTAACCAAACCAAACCAAACCAAGCCTTAAGTCCCATCAAATGGGGTCGGCTACATGAATCCTTCTTCTCCATGCGGTCTTATCAAAGGCCATTTCATTAGTCAAATTAAGTAGATTCATATCTCTATTTATAACGCTAGTCAATGTTAATCTAGGCCTACCCCGTCCCCTAACACTTCCATCTACCGTTATAACATCGCATCTCTTCACTACTGCCTCTGTTGGTCTCCGTTGAATATGACCAAACCATCTCAAACGATTCTCTCTCAACTTATGTTCTATCGGTGCTACCCATTCCCGAATACACTCATTCCTAATCCTGTCCTGTCTAGTCTTACCACACATCCACCTTAGCATCCTCATCTCAGCCACACTCATCTTATCTACATGTTGTTTCTTGGTTGCCCAACACTCCATCCCATACAACATAGCTGGTCTAATAGCCGTTCTATAAAACTTACCTTTTAGTCCAGTGGATATTCGTTTATCGCACAATACCCCAGACGCACTTCTCCACTTACACCATCCCGCCTTAATCCTATGGGCCACATCTGCATCAATCTCTCCCGCTGTTGTGATAATCGACCCTAAATAACGAAAATGTTCACTCTTAGGCAGTTCTTGGTTCTCAATCTTCACTTCTCCTCTGCTTTCATTGTTACTGTTACTAAATTTACACTCTATGTACTCTGTCTTAGTTCTGCTTATCCGAAATCCTTTAGATTCAAGAGCTTTTCTCCAAATCTCCAACTTTATGTTAACTCCTTCTCTAGTCTCATCCACTAACACAATATCATCTGCAAGAAACATACACCATGGCACGTCATCCTGAATATTTATCGTCAACTCGTCCATAACTAAAGCAAAAAAATAAGGACTTAAGGTTGATCCTTGGTGTAACCCTACAGTGATAAGAAATTCATTTGTCTCTCCAGCTGGCGATCTAATAGTGGTCACCACCCCTTCATACATGTCCCTAATCACGTCAATGTAGCCTTTTGTCACCCCTTTCTTCTCTAACACCCACCATATTATATCTCGGGGCACTCTGTCATATGCTTTCTTAAGGTCGATAAACACCATATGAATGTCTCTTTTCTTTTCTTTATACTTTTCTATTACTCTCCTCAAAAGATAGATCGCTTCCATTGTTGACCTACCAGGCATAAACCCAAATTGATTCTCTGACACCTCTGTTATGTCTCGCAATCGACATTCCATCACCCTCTCCCACACTTTCATTATATGACACATTAGCTTGATTCCTCTATAGTTGTTACAATTCTGGACATCACCTTATTCTTATAGATTGGCACTAAAATACTCTTCCTCCACTCATCTGGCATGGTCCTAGTCAACAAAATTTTGCTAAACAACCTAGTCAACCAAGCAACTCCCTTGTTACCCAAACACTTCCAAGCTTCAATAGGGATATCATCAGGTCCTAAAGCCTTATTTGATTTCATCTTCTTAAGTGCAATCTCCACTTCAAAGTTCCTAATCCCGCGATAGAACCTATAGTCTTGGTTTATCGTATTACTGGTTATTTCTTCCCCTATTGTCGTACTTCCATGCTCCTCATTTAACAGTTTCTCAAAATAATTCTTCCATCTTTCTTTAATCTCATCATCCTTCACCAATACTTAGAATCCTCACTCTTGATGCACTTTACTTGATTAAAATCTCTTGTTTTCCTCTCCCGTATCTTAGCAAGTTTGTATACCCTCTTCTCTCCCTCCTTACTATCTAGTCTAGTGTATAGGTCATCATAAGCTTTCAACTTAGTCTCTCTCACTACTTTCTTGACCTCCTTATTAGCCAATCTATAGCTCTTAAGGTTTTTTTCAGTTTTATCCTTCTGCCACTTTTTAAAGCACTCTTTTTTTGCCTTAACTACCGCTTGAACCTCTTCCCTCCACCACCAAGTTTCCCTAGAGCTGGGTCCCGTTCCTTTCGACTCTCCAAGCACTTCCCTTGAGATTCTCCTCATACAATTGGCCATCGAATTTCACATAGTATTAGCATCACCTTCTAAGTCCCAAGTACCTTCCTTATCCATTCGATTCTTAAATATTTCTAGTTTATCCCCTTTTAGGTGCCACCATCTCGTCCTACGACGCCCACCATTCTTCCTAGCTTGGTATTGCCCTCTAAAACATAAATCTAGTACCAAAATCCTATGTTGAGAGACCAGACTCTCTCCAGGAATCACCTTATAATCATTGCATTTTAGGCAGTCCACTTTTCTCACTAAGAAATAATCTATTTGGCTCTTAACTAATCCACTCTTAAAGGTTATCAAATGCTCCTCCCTCTTCTTATACATCGTATTGGCCACCACCAGGTCAGAAGCCAACGCAAAATCTAAGATTCTCTCTCCAGCCTCATTTCTGTCACCAAACCCGTATCCACCATGCACCCTTTCATAACCTAGTTTATCTATGCCCACATGGCCATTGAAATCTCCACCTATAACCAGGTTCTCTCCTACGGGTATCTCCTGTAAGATCTCATCCATTTGCTCCCAAAAATCCATCTTAGTCTGATCATCTAACCCTACTTGAGGGGCGTAAGCGCTAATAATGTTCACTATATTCCCTCCAATAACTAGTTTAACTAGCATAATCCTATCTCCTTTCCTAGTGCCCGCCACCACAATTTCCACAAGACCCTTGAAAATTATGATTCCTACCCCATTCATGCGTCTATCCTTACCACTATAATAAAGCTTAAAACCAGTATCCTCAATTTCCCTAGCTTTCTCTCCCGTCCACTTAGTTTCTTGTATGCAAGCTATACTAACTCTCCTCCTAAGCATAACATCTACCAATTCCATCATCGTACCAGTTAAAGTTCCTATGTTCCAAGTGGCTATCCTAAACCTATAGTCTTGGACTAGCTTCTTTACCCGCGCTTGTTCAGAAAAACGCGGAAACCTTTGCCCATTTTTCACCTCACCCAGGCGTCGATGCGGCGCCCCTTGCTCACTTTTCGAAACACCCGGAGGCAGGCGCAATGCGTCACTTGAGGGGAACGACCTAGCATTTAAACGATTCAAAGTAGGATTCATTTTCATAAGGGATCCGAGCGGCTTTTTTACGTGTTGGCTGTCGGCTACCTAACACACAACCCTCCTCCTTAACCCGGGCTTGGGACCGGCGAAGTTGTTAACAACCCCGGCGGAGTTCTCAATTGCTATCTATATTCAATTAATTATTAAAAGTGTAATTTCTATGGCATAGGGACTATATGAACGTGGTATATACAACATATTTTTTCTGTGAGATTCTTAGTTGGTTTAACATGAAGAGTAGAGGTTTATCAATGTCTTTTATAGTTCCTTCACTTCCACATCTCAAATTCTGTGGCCTAAATATATGCATTGTATATGCCATGGATTTTAGACTGGCAGAATGGTCTCATGAATATATTAAAGTCAGTAATAAAACTAAGGGTATGAAATGGCCATATAGGCCAACATTTAGAGGCATTACATATGAACACAAAGATGTGATATGGTTAAGTGATTGGAAGATAGCGGATCTGTTAATGGAAGTTGGTGATGAAATGAACATCTCTGTGAATATGGCGGAATTTTTTTGGGTAAAAGAATTTGGAATTCGAATTCTGTATGATGAAGAAGGGAAATGTATCCAGAACAACACTAGATATTCTTTTCATCATAATGTCATTGATTTGTCAACATATCAAATGAGAGAAGGCGAGTACTTCTTATGCAATGACGATGATGTTAGTTGGGCGCTACTCTACTCAAGGATGTGCGAGTAGATATGGGAATGCCTAGAAAATACAGGTTAGACTTAAAAGAGTACCTTCACCATTTCATTTGATAAACAACAAGAAGTATTAGTAGAAAAAACAAATTAAAATCAAAATGCTTGTTTTCTCTCCTTTTATCACCAAATGCTGAAAGAAATGGATTTAACTGTATTCTGTTTTCCTTTTCCCCTTTTATTGATGGGTACTATTCAAATTAAAATCTGTTGGTTTTGGAAAGTTATGAACTATTTTACAATGGTAGATTGGTTTGAGAGTCCTCTGTATTTCTTTGAGGTAATACAGTTTTTGCCAATAATATTTGCAGAGTTGAGTTTTCTAGGCTTGGGCTTTATGATAAGGCAGTGAGGAAAAAAGATCTTAGGGACATTGTGATGACCCCGTGTCACGACCCAAACCCGGCCCTATGGGTTTAGCACCGTAACCGGCCAGTAATCCGAGATTACTGAAGGCCTGCAGAACAGTAGTCCAGTAAAACAGAGTACAGGGCCTGGCGGAAGCCAATACAGTAAATAAACAATGCCCAATGAGCTGTGACAGTCTGTATGCCAAAAAGATTTTTCATGCATTCATATAATCACAACAGTACAGGCTATACAAGCATTTACAGACATTCAGTACAGGGATCTAATCCCTTGATGACAGTACAGTACAGTGGATAACAGTCTATACAGTAATACAAAACAGTAACAGGGACCAGCGGGGGAAAAAGACACCCCAAGCCATAGCATGGCGAACTCGGAACCTCGCAGTGAGGCACGGTGGTTGGCTTGACAAAACTGGAACGACCCTGACGCCTCTAGCTTTGATCCGGTGCCTGTACACCTACATATATATATGAGCAGTGAGCTAAAGCCCAGTGAATAACATAAAGCGTAAAGGGGTTTAGAATGAATGTCCTTACAGTAACGAAAACAGTTCATTTCAATCAGTATTTCAGTTGCTCAGTACAGTAAACAGTCATATGTGGTACATCCATTAGCATATCAGTAACAGTAGGCCTTAAAAGACCGAACAGTAATGATGGCCATCAATCAGTAAACAGTAATGGCTCCACGAGGGAACCGACAGAGATCTCTGTAACAGTAACAGTAAACAGTAGGTGCTAAGGATGCCACAGTACAGTTCAGAAATAAAGGACATACATTCATTCAGTAATACCAGTTCAGTAAACAGTTCAGTTCAGTATTCAAGAGATAATCAGTTGAACATATCTTTACACAATTGTTACTCACAGAGTTCTGGGCTACAGTAGGCTAGAGCGTGTCCTCAGAAAGCCAGTCCTACACAGTTACAGATTAACACACACTAAGCTACACAGTTGGGAAAAATAATAACTTAATCCCTAATAGCCTCGGTGTGTTCTACATCTATATCCTCAACAAGATGTCTTAAACTAGGCCTAAGAATGCCTAGAATGGGATGAGGATGCAAAGATGCACCATTAAAAGCATTTTCAGAAAAACAGAGTCCCGCTCGAGCGCAAGTTTCCCCGCTCGAGCGGTCATGCAACAAAGGTACACGCTCGAGCGTAACCTTTCCCGCTCGAGCGTACTGTAAAAGTACTGGATGGGTGAAATCTCCGCTCGACGCCCGCTCGAGCTTGAGACATGACTCCGCTCGAGTGCCCAATCCTCCGCTCGAGCGGACTGTAAAACAATGCAGAGAGATGCTGGATGCTCGGATTCCACGCTCGAGCGCCACTTACCCCGCTCGAGCGTAAGTGCAAAATCTGGGAAACCCAGATTGCACCTCCAAGCTCAAACTCACGTTCAAAAGCATCAAAACCAATCCTCTTGGGCCCATTTTCTGGAAAACATTTGTAAACACATAGAATAACATGGTTCAAAGCTCAATTTGAGAAATCAAAGCCCAAGGGTGTTTAATTCAAACTCAATTTCAAACCATTTTTCAAGAACAAGATGAACATGCAACATGCATGAATTCAAATCATTTTGAAGCTCCAACTAGATGCTATAATGAGCCAATCCATTTCAAAACATGATGAAATCATGGACTTAAACATAATTATGAACATGCATGTAACCTTTTGCCATGAAAACAACTCAAACATCTACAATTCAAACATGCATGCATGAATTATGCTCTATATCAACATGTATGAACTAAAACATGACTTAGCTCTACAATTTAACATGGTCCATGCAAGAATTAGTTCAAACACAAGAATGAGAAGATGAAATCCTTACCTAAGTTCCTTGAATGCAAGTCTAGAGGTCCAATTTAGCAATCTACACTTCAATTACCAAGCAATTCTTCAAGTTTCCGAGCAATTCAAGGTGAAAAACCAATTTCTCTCCCTCTCTACTCTCTAGGTCGGCAAGGCTCAAGAAAGGGCTAAGGAAATGTTTGTTCCAAGTGTATACAAGGCTCACATGTTATATTGAGTGGGCCACTAAGGGTGGCAATTTGGTAATTACGGCAGACTTTGCAATTAACTCATTTTAATCTAATTTAATCATACCTAATCAGCTTTCAGATAAATACACTATAAAATCACATTAATTACGACGATCATAAAACACCGATCGATTTCTAATTCGGCCGCCGATAAGGCCTTCAATGAGCAGTTTAAACACAAGACATGAACAGATCAAACAAACAGTCAACAGATAAAATGCAATTCAAACAGATGTATTCATCCAATTCAGTTTCAATTTCGGTCAGTCAGTTCAGTACTTTTAATCAGTCCAATTATCAGTCATAATCAATTCCGTTTAACGGTAGTCGATGGTTATCGGTAATCAATCAGTCATTAATCGGTAAACAGTATGAGGGTTGTTACACCCCGACATAAGTATTATTTTTATATATTATTTTACTGAGCATATTTGCATGATTATGCGCTTAATTGATGCTTACCTGTTTGTTTATGAAATATATGTTAGAGTGCAGACTTAGAATACAAAATTGAATGCCCAAAACGGATTCAGAAACCGAAATTGACTAGTTCAATAGACTAATTGAAATATTTAGAACCATATGAAAATTTTAATTAAAATTTGATTCGGATCAAAATAATTAGAATAAATTGATTAAGATTAGTTAGATTTAAGCCTATTTAATTAAGCCTAATCTCACCTAATTAGCTTAACTTAATCAAACCTATAAATATGGGATATAGGCTTATTGAGTTCATATTCTTCAACTAAGTGGCTGAAATTAGAGAGGGAGTTGAGGCTCAACACTTCTAGAGAGAGAATGGTGAAATTGTAGAGAATTTGAAGGGGATTTGAAGAACTTTAGCTAATTAAACTAGAATTCAAGCTCTAAATATGGAATTCACCCACAATTCTTGTAAATAATCCCTGTAGAAATTGAATTCAATAAGTTGTAGGGCCATTTGCATGAATTTGTAAAGAATAAACTAGGATCACCATGAATTTAGTGATTGTAAGGTAGTTGTGAGCATGCATGCATAATTCCATTACATTTGAGCATTTTGAGCTCGAATTCTAGTGTTCTTGTTAATTTAAGAGTTGAATTTTTACATGCATTAAAGAATTTCAAGTTTTCAAGAGTTTAATTTCATGTTTGAAGGTTTTGAAAAAGATTTGAATACAATTCCATACATGCATGAAGACTTTGGTTTCAAATTTGACAATTCATGGTGTTTTTAAGCTCATGATTCCAAATTAAGTATAAATGCATGTTTTTCTATGAGTTTTCATGAATTTGGTACAATCATGCAAGCTTTGGACATGTAGGGTGCATTTTTGAACTTCAAATTCTATTCTGGAAATTCCAGAATTCATTCACTTTGCTCGAGCAGTGAAGTCATCGCTCGAGTGCACTTTGCATGCTCTCAGTATTTTTGCAGACTTTTGCAGTTGGCTCGAGCGACCAAGTATGCGCTCGAGCGAACTCAACATTGTATTGCACTTGACTCGAGCAAACATCGAGCCTACTTTGACACTATTCAGTACTTTTGCAAATAGGTCACACCACTCGAGGAACCAAAGGTGCGCTTGAGCGAACTGCCCTATTTTCAGCATTTTTGAAACACACTCATAAATGCATATTTGCATCCTCATGCCCTTTTTGGCATTCTTTAGCATCATTTAGACATCTTTAGCCAATGATTAAGCTAGAAACTCATGTTAGAGAATTGAATTATGATATGCTATTTGTTGAGAACGTGTGCTTCAATGTGTATATATGTTATGTGTTTTGTGTAGGTGGTCAATCGAGGTCCAACACCTATGCCAGCCCATTGTGAGTAGTATTTTTGTAAAGATATGTTGAACTGCATTTTCAATTTATTGCAAGAATGTTATTTGAAATGCTATTTTGATAAAAATGAATGATTGTCTCTTTTGAAAAGTAATTGTGGAATCTTTAGTGTAGCCCACAATTGGGGTTAACAATACTATGACCCTTTGCTATAAGGTCCTCGCCCAGGGGAAACAATACAGTGGCCCTTCGTTAGTAAGGTCCTCACTCAGAGGAAACAATACCGTGGCCCTTTGTTATATATGCACAGAGATCTCTGATGTTAACCCTAGTTGTCCCTTTGCTTGACCTATATAGACCCTTTGTTAGACTCATGTGTTCCATTTGTTATGCCTTCGGGCCCTTTCCTTTACACTATTGGATGTACCATATATGAATATGATTTGTGAAGTTTGATACGACAAGTACTCATCTATGTTTTACTTCGGAACTCATATGATATGATTTTGTATTACGATAGACATCATTTATTTAACCTCTTTATACTGGTATTACTCGGCTTTAGCTCACCCCCTCCCCCATATATATAGGTGAGCAAATGGAGCATTAATGTCACACCCCAAAACCAGGAATGACCGACCGTGGTCCACATGAACTTAGCCCAAGACAAACGTAAGCTTAAACATGAACCCAAAACCACAAAGAATAAATGTGATGATAACCTAGAAATAAATAAATCAAAACCCAATCCAATGACATGTCACAAGTATAAATAGTAAAACCAGCCATAACCAACT